TAGATAGCTTCACGCGCAAAGGATTGATATCATAAAAAAAAAAAAAGAAAAAAGAGAGAAAAAAAAATAAATAAATAAATAAATAATAATTAAATAATAAACGATTTGCTGTGGAATGTGATAAACATTGCGAAAGTGAACGACGTTAATTAATAAAATCTTTCTTGATTTCATTAATAACGATTGCACGTAGTAGAAAAATTCGTTTCTCCGATTTTCGAAGGAGACAGTTATTAATCTCATAAATCATCTCGTGATATCAAGATCTTATTAAATTTACGACTGTTCCAATATCGTCGCCATTCCTTTTGTGACAAATTTTTACGAATCCTTCGTTGAAAATCGATGATTCTTAACGATTACGATAAATTATTATCAGGGATAGGCGTGTGTCTCGTTTCGTCAGTGAATTAAAATTCGCGATCGATATCAAAAAGAAAGAAAAAAGAAAAAAAAAAAAGAAGAAAAAAAATAGAAGAAAAAAAAAGAAGAAGAAAAAAGGAAACTCCTAACAATAACGACAACGACATAACAACAAAAATAATAATTAAGAACAAGACAATTAAATGAAAAAAAAAAAAAAAAAAAAAAAAAAAAAAAAAAAAAAAAATTATAAAAAAAAAAAGATATAAAGAAAAGTGCACGTTGCGCAAAGGCGATAAATTTAGTTGGACAAAATTTTATTTTCAATTTAATTTTCCAATATGATCGCATTGATCGAGACAAAGCTATTTTACAAATTTGGAACGAATTAATAAATCATAATAAAAGTAATAATGAAAAAATTTGTCACTTCGTTTAATAATATTGTCTCATCGAATGTGTCCAAGAGAAAAAAGAAAAAAAATGTCGAAACTTCAATGGCGAATGAAACCGTACGAAAACACGATGAAGATGATTGGTACTGTAACGGTACAACCGACGAAAGTTCTCTCGGTTTTCTTTTCCTTTTTTTTCTTTTTTTTTTAATTCTCTTTTGATCCTTTAAATTCTTCTCTCTCTCTCTTTCCGTCCCTCCCTACCTCCTTCCCTCTTACCCTATACCCTGCACTCCTTCTTACTTACCTGCGGTGCTCTTTGACAGAATTCTTCTTCCGTTAGGGATGCCAAAGTTGCGCCATCGACGTTGAAACTTTCCAAGGGCACAGACGGCAATTGCAATTGTCTCCTAGCCCATTGTACCCATGCGGCAACGTCAGCCGCGCTCCAACGTCTGGGCTCTGAACGATAAGTGAAATTTTGTGTATTCACGAAAAAGAAAAAAAGAAAAAAAAAAAAAAGGAAAAAGAAAAAAAAAACAAATATATCGCCGTTCCATAGAGAATTTATTACGGGGGGACTGGAAAGTGATGTCGCTTTCTTAAATTAAATTCAAACGAATAAATTTTTAACAATTTTTAACAATTTTTAACAATCAAATATCGACATGCGCAGAAACGACATTACTTTCCGGTCCACCTAATAAAATTAAACGCGTCGTCGGCTTGATAAACGACGATCGACATTGTACAACAATCGATCGAATTTATCGAAATTTTCTTATTAAATTAGATCTTAGATATTTAGATATTTAGATATTTAGATATTTAGATATTTAGATTATAATCGTATCGTTTCAACGATAAGAGGTAAGAGCGAATGAATTTTTTTTTTTCTTTCTTCTCCATTTTCTTTTTTTTTGCTTTCTTTTTTTTTTATTTTTTTTTATTTTTTTTCTTCTATACCGACGATCTAAACAATCGTTTTTTTTTTTTTTTTGTTTTAAATTATTAATCTCTTTCATTCTTATGTCATCAAGACAGATATCGTTGGACGACGACGACGAAGACGACGCATATATACGTTAAAGCACGTATGTATGTGTCATCATTTTGAAAAATTATTAAACTATAATACGTATTTTAATCAATCATAAAGATTGATTCGATTTTATTAGAGAAAATTAAAATTACTTAACGATTAGACAGACGCAAGCGAGCTCATTACGGATTATAGAGAACAACAATTGGGATAAATATTATATATATATATATATATAAAAAAAAAAAAATAATAATAATAAAAAAAAATAAAAAACAAAAAAAAAAGAAAAAAGAAAAATTGATACCACTGAGTATTATAAGAAGTACAAAGTTTAAGTTTCACGATCGTAGTAAGTAGGGGTCCCGTAAGTGAAGAGGAAAGAGGAAATAAAAAAAAAGAAAAAAAACCAGAGGGAAAAGAAAAAGAAAAAGAAAAAGAAAAGAAGTACAGAATGAAAAAAGAAAAGAAAAGAAAAGAAAAAAAAATAAAGATAGGATAGAACAAAAGAGATTACAAACGAGAAGTTGCGGCGCATTGGTTCTATCTATTATAATAATACATAAAGAAATATCAACGGGAAGCGTGGTGACCTTGAAGAAAGAATCGAAATTTCGTAACCCTAATCGTTAAAGCGCACACGAGTTAAATCTGTGATGGCGCGTGACTAGGTAATTTATTCGAAACGTGACATCATATTGTGCCTCTGAGAAACGAACTAATAGGGTAACCGGTCGCGTGCATCGAAAAGATTTCACGAGTAGTGTCTCTCTCTCTCTCTCTCTCTCTCTCTATCTCTCTATCTATCTCTCTCTTTCTCACTGGTTAAGCAGTCAGCCATTTAGCTAGTTAAGGTGGCTAAACCAGGTAAGCAACTTAGCTAAGGTTAGCTAGCTAAGCTAGCTAGTTTAGTTTAACTAAAGTTACATGGGTAACCCATAAGTTAAGAATTCTCGCCTGGGGCAAGGTAGCGAATGGAATCGATCAATCGATCGATCGATCGATCGACCGAGTCCAGTCGGATCGATCATGTTTTATCATATATACTAAATAGTTATATTATATATCCACGCTTTAAACGACCTGATAATTCTAATTAATAGTCAAGGATATATATATATATATATATATATATATATATATATATATATGTGTCTTATTATGTATAGTATAATATTTATTTATTTCCTTCTTTTTTATTTTTTGTTTGTTTTTTTTCTTTTTTTGTTTTTTTTTTCTTTATTTTTTTCTCCCTCTTCTTTTCCTTTTGCCAACATCAAACCCGTGGATATTTTTAATCCTAAATAATTCTTTTTCTCCTTGACGATTATATATGATCGATATGATCGATATGATCGATTAAGATGAATTATCCTATACTATTTTGAAACCTCTATTATGATTTCTAAATATCAATATGATTAAATAATAAACGAAATTAAGTTATATATATATATATATATATATATATATATATATATATATATAATGTAAATGGTAAAATGTGTTTTGAGAGAGATCAATACATAGGACTGTAATGTCGAAAGTTATTTATATAGAAATAGAAAGAAATAAAATATGAGAGTGAGAGAGAGAGAGAGAGAGAGAAAGAGATAGAGGGAGGGAGAGATAAAGAGATATTTAAAATTTGACCAACTTACCAGGATGAATACCCAAAGCAACGCAGGTATTATCAAAGTCCTTTTGTAATTGTTGAATCGCAAGGCTAAGGACTGGTTCAATTTGTTCTCTTGCCAGATCACCGACACATTCACCAGACTCCATGTCCTCGACGTAACCAGTACCAACCCCACCAAGATCAACCGGTCTCAAATTGTATTTCCTTTGAAAGCTCGTATCCCTTAATACCTCGCGGAGTAATTGATGATCACTCTTTTCAGTATCCTTAAACAATTCCTCTTCCTTCTCAAGGGGATTACTCCTTGTTATAATGTCCTGTTGTCTTTCTATTTTTGCCTGATTGATTTTAATCGATGTTGTCTGTTGTTGAAGATTGTTGATGAAATCCTTTCTAACACCTTTGAAGAGTAACTCGCGTAATGGCGACGTGCTCTCGTACTCGATAGGTCCTGGCGAGGACGAAGCAGTCGATGATGATGATGACGAGGACGAGGACGATGACGAGGACGACGACGACGACGACGATGATGATGATGATGATGATGATGATGATGATGATGACGACGACGAGGACGACGACGACGAGGACGATGATAACGATAACGATAACGATAACGTGGGCGAGGACGAAGAAGAAGAGGAAGAGGAAGAAGATGATGACGATGACGATGACGATAATGACGATGATGATGACGAAGAAGAGGAAGAGGAGGAGGAGGAAGAGGAAGGAGAATTACTACAAACACTGTTTGTAGCTGAACGTGGCTCTTCCTTGAAAAGTATCTCTTTTAACAAGGGATGTTGACCTTGGACAGTACTGGCGTCCTCTTTTTTAGCAAAAAAATCAGCATCCAGACTATTGTAAATGTCCTCCTCGGTTCTTGGCGGTGTACATGGTACCGTACAATCCGTCGAATCTTCACGATATCCTAGACTCTCGGCTAAGAGTCTGAAAACATTGGAATGATACGATGTCTTTTAATTAATTTCAGTGTTATAACATTGTACTTGTTAATTTTAATCTTAAAGATATATATATATATATATATATATATATATATATATATATATATAATTATTTAATGAAATTGATAATGATAGTTTTACCTGGATTCTTGAAGTATTGCAAGCAAATCGAGACTCTTCTCTCTTTTGATCGGTTGTTTGCTCGAAGGGGGTTCAGGACTGGTCGGATAAAACTGTGCACTTTGGGGACTTCTTGGTACGTAATAAGGGCTCGTAGGATATCCAGGTGAATTTTCATGAGAATAATTTGGCGACAATGGTAACTCGCAAGGCCCAGTACCGGTATAAGCTGGACTTGGATAATTCGCCGTTGTCGTTGTGATCGCCGTTGTCGTTGTTATTTTTGGCGTCGTTGTTATCGGGGAACAAGGACGCGGCGAACAAGCTTCCTGCTTTATCTGGTTTGGTTTTAAATTGTTTTGACCATTACCGATACCACCATAATCATCAGGAAGAAGAGACAAATCGAATTGAAAGGTACTGTAGTCGAAAGACGGCGAATAGCCAGCCGCTGAAGGCACTGTTTGCGGCATCTGAAAAAAAAAAAAAACAAAAAAGAAAAAAAAAGGAAAAAAGAAAAAACACATCAAAAATTTTTTATATCCCATAGTCAAGTTTTTATCGATCCTTTTGCTTTCTTTATGGACCGCGTTAAAACTTTTAATTGGCAATTCGAACGATACTCGGCTGCCGGCTTACGCGAAAACGAGAAAAGTTCATTCATTTTCGAAAGATCTTTTTTCTTTCTTTTCTTTTCTTTTTTTTTTCTTTTTCTTTTTCTTTTTTTTTTTATTATCTCGTTTTTTTTTCCTTGGGTGGGGGTGAGGCGAGGGGAGAGTGGCGCTCGAGGCATTTCTCTCGTTGTAACTTCTTGCCAATTATATATATATATATATATATATACAGCGATAATATTGCTGATACATTTATATCTTTAAAATATATATATATATATATATATTTACCAGATACTCTAGGTCTACCAGATTTCTTTAGTAAATATTTTATTTATATTGTAAACATTTGGATCGTATTTGGTATCGTTACGAGGGAATATATCGAGTCATTAGATAGTTGCAATCGAATGTAAGAATTTACGAAATTTTATTTATGTTCCTTGTTTTGTTATTATATAGGAAAAATTGATTTCACTGCGATAACTTGTTTCTCGTGTAAATGTCTTTTCATATTCGTGTGATTTTTAAAAAGAGAAATCTAACAGGCAACTCTCTCTCTCTCTCTCTCTTTTTCTCTCTGTCTGTCTGTCTATCTGTCTGTCTGTCAGTTTGTCTTCAGGTTCGAAATAATTCTTTAGTTGTTCTTGTTCGAGTTAAGGGCCTCGTTTATCTACCATACCTTGTCTCTTTATTGCTTACCTCGAGGGACAGGACATCGGAGTTTCAGATTTATTATCGTTCAATTCTTTAGAAGAAAATGATCCTAATCAATCTTGGGAATGTATATATATATATATATATATATATATATATGTATGTATGTCTACACGTATTAAAACATATAATACACAATACATGTATACGTATACACAAATGTCAAACATATATACGTATCTATACACAACTATATATATATATATATATATTTTTTTTTCTTTTTTTTTTCAATATACATCTATGTATTATATATTAATCAGAATTAACAAAAATGAATAAATCCGTACGTATCATTCGTTATATAAATATTTTATAAACTAAATAGTACTAAGATATTACGTTTATCACAATTGATCAACGAACGCAATTAATGTATATACACACACACACACATATATATATACGTGCATATAAAAATATACGATAAAACAAAAAAAGAAATAAATAAAAACATACGTTGAAAAAAAAAATAAAAAATAAATAAAAGAAAAAAGGGGGAAACATTGTCCACACTTCTTCAACATTAATTCAAATCATTCCATCATGAAAGAAAATAAAACGCTTTTCGTTGAAGCGTTTGCTACCGGTAATACAATCTCGTTTAAGTAAGAAGGGAATAAATCGTAATGATGATGATGATGATGATGATGATGATGACGGTGGTGGTGATGGTGATAATAACGATGACGATGGCAAGGGAGAAAGAGGGTGATTAAATTTATGCGTTAACGCTGATGATACGATGTTAGCACAACGCCATATCGTGCTAAGGAGAATATCAAGATGAAAATGAACAACACAGTTTGTTAGCCAAAGGTAAAAGGCGGGCGGGCGAGCGGGCGGGAAGAGGGGGTAGGGCCCGAACGTAGTCGAGTGGTCCCACAATGGTGGGGGATGTAGTCGTGCTGGTAGGTAGGTTTGAGAAGGGTGTAAAAGGATAGGTGAGAGCAAAGGGATAAGGGGTAAGGAGGGGGTTAAGTTAAAGGCCCATTTATCTCTCAACGCGTTTATTGCCTGTCGCGCGAACGCGTCTGACCTCGCGCCTTGTTCTCTCTCTCTCTCTCTCTCTCGTTCTCTGTCGCTTTCTCTCTCTTTCTCTCTGTCTCTGTCTCTGTCTCTGTCTCTGTCGCATCCATGAAGAAACCTGGCGTTAAATCAATTTCATTGGTTCTTTTATTTTAATTCGTTTCGTCGATTGAAATCGTTGTTCATAATTTCTTTTCTCTTTTTTTTTAATCCTCTCTCTCTTTCTCTCTCTCTCTCTCTCTCTCTCTCTTTCTCTCTATCTTCTTTTTCTTTATCTCGTACTTCCTCGACACCGTTATCTCATTGGTAATCTTTGACTCGTTCTTTATTTTTCTGTCTTCTTTTTTTTTTTGGCTCTTCTTTTTTCCTTTTTTTTTTGATTATTTATTTTCTTTCTTTCTCTCTCTCTCTCTCTCTCTTTCTTTGTCTCATGTACTTTCTTCTTTCTCTTTTACAATAAAATTTTCTTCTTTTTTTTTCTCTCTTTCTTCCCCCCGCCCGCCCCGCAAACACGATACACCCGTCGTTATCTTTTATTATCTTATCTCTTTTTCTCTTTATACAACGATACGTCGTTATTTGGTAAAAATTGTCGATAATCGTACACCCCACGCGCCCAAAGAAATATGTATTATTTATAAGTATATACATATATATATATATATATATATATATATATATATATATATAGATGTATGGATATATGTACGTATGTACATAGGTACATATGTATGAAAAATATAAGAAAGCGAAGTACCCAACCCTTTTTTCCAAGGTATCGCCCAAAGGGACGGAAAAGGGCAAGCATATTCGCGTACTATATATATATATATATATACATCTTTCTCTTTCTCTCGGTGTGGTGCACCTTAAGGGCCCATTTGTCTTTCGGTGTGTTTATTGCCCGTCGTGTGTTTGACCTCGCATCAGTTTGTTACGCTTTGTAAGCCCATTACAACGTTCCCAGTGCATCTTCCCTACCATCTCTCTCTCTCTCTCTCTCTCTCTCTCTTCTTCTCTCTCCTTCTCTCTCCTTTTTTCTATCTCTATCTATCTCTATTTCTCTCTCTCTTTCTCTCTCAGGCGGGGTCGCGTCTGACATTTTGACGTAGTGCCCTGCAAAGGTCGACGCGAAATAAACGATTATACCAACACAACGAGACTCGTGGCATCTTGCAGAATTCTTCTTGACTCTTCTTCTGTCTTGTAGAAAGAGAGAGAGAGAGAGAGAGAGAGAGAGAGCGAGAGAGAGAGAGAGAGAGAGAGAGAGATACTCGTAAAGACTCGATGGGCCTCCATAGTCTTACATACATTATATTGTAAAAGCATTTACAAATATGTATATATAATATATATATATATATATACAAAATATATACATTTATAGAGTTTACTATAGTGTATTTATTATCGCGAATATACGTGAACAAAAGTACGAGCTTTTATTTATTCTGTATTCTATTCCGTTTCAACCCCCTTGTTCAATCTTATCCATACTATCCCTTCGTCTTAAGTAACTCTTTCCTTATCTTTCTCCTATCCTACAATCATAACGTTCTTTCGAATAAACGATTCAAACGATAATCTTATCTTATGAAAATTTTTATTTGTCGTTTATCACGGTGGCATATGTTTTTTTTTTTTTTTCTTTTTTTTTCTTTTTTTTAATTACTTAATTTATTTCAATATCATTTCACGTTAAAATTATACTATTGCGTTTTTATCTCAAATAATTTTTTTTATTCATACCTATTACTACTATTCACGATTATAATTTGTTTCGTTTTATTTGCTTCTTTTCTTTGTTTCTTCTCTTTGTTTGTTTGTTTGTTTGTTTGTTTGTTTGTTTGTTTGTTTTTTTATTTTTCATTATATCCATTATAATCCATGTATGTCTATTTTGTTTCAATTTTATTTATATATATATATATATATATATATATATAAATATATATATATATATTTTTTTTTTCTTATATAATAACATTTTTTTTATATTTAAAAACGAACGAAGGAATTGAAATCTGATCGATGACGTATAAAAGTGATAGAAAGAGAGATAAATTGTAAATCGTTATACCTATCTTTTTCTTTTTATACGTAATATTATCTATCCATTAAATCTTTCTGTTTATATCTATAAAAAAAAGGAAATGTATGTATATATGTATATTATTCAATATTTTATTTTTTGTATCCCTCTTTTTCTTTTCTTTTTTTTTTTTTCTCTTTTTGATGAAGTTTTGATACCCGACGAAAATAAATTGTATTTCTTTCTCTACTTCTTCATCTTCTTCTTCTTCTTCTTCTTCTTCTTTTTTGTTCTCTCCATTCTCGTTTCTTTTTTTTTTCTTTTTTTTCTTCTTTGTTCTCTTATCATTTTTTCTTTCTTCGGAAGACCAGTTTTCAGTTTTATTGACGTCATCGGGCAATCGAAACGATGCAGTATCTCATATTGAATTTCATCGGTGAACCGATCAAGCGTAAATCTTGTGTTAACTGTCGATCCCGAATAAAGATAAGAAATCGTTTAGCATCGTTTTAATTTCTCGATCGGTAATAGTTTGACAGAGAGCTTAATCGAAATTGTTTATACTTTCTATTATATATTCATGATATCTATCAATCTTAACATTATCTTAAAAGATATCGACTATTTAAATTAGAGTAGATTGATCCGATTGTAAATCGGTAACCTAAATCCATTTATATTAGATTTTCTTCACAAGCTGAATAAATATATCGAAAATACTAATCGTGGTTTACATATTTGTCTTTCTCTCTCTCTCTCTCTCTCTTTCTCTCTTTCACTACATGTATAAATATATATATATATATATATATATATATATATATATATATAAATGTATCTATCTCACTCTCTTACTCTTATACGTCATCGATCGAATTTTCATTATATTTTTTTTCTTTTTTTTATATTTTTCTTAATACAAAATAATATTAATAATTTCTTTTTTTCTTTTTTTCTTTTTTTTTTTTTCATATGTCCAAACTATTATAGATCATAATAATTTTTTTCTTTAACGAATATTTATATATCGAAAATATATAATACATCTTATAACAATTATTATTTCATAATATTAATATAT